TCAATATTCTCAAGTCCTTTGTCGCTGCGAACACGAGATGGCAAACCATACTGATGCACTGCTTCAATAAAGCAGTTTAACACTGTAGCAGCTTTGTTGTTGAAGCTGGCTTTTAGGTACATTATCTTTCTGCTGTATCCGTCAATTGCTCCGTGAACCACTATTCTCCATCTATGCAGTACAAAATTAAGACATTATTTAGGTAAAGGTGTCCACAAGATTACCATAGTAGTAATAACAAAATCAGCATTTAAATCTTTATAGACAATTCTTACTGAATTAACTTGTGATTGCCATCTTTATGCCATAGTGACAATGGCATATGGTGTTGATTGTGAGACCCCTCAGAAAGGCTCCCACGGGATCCACAAGCCTCAAAGCCTCTCTAATTCTTTTTTGCTGCACTCTGAAGATAAAAGTACAGCTGTAAATTAAGAACAAAAACTGCAAATACTCTGGCAGCAATTTAAATTGTAGATCTCTCACAAAATGATACATTAAAGTAACACAGAAGTGCATTTTTAAGATAGGAATTGTACTTTTGATCAGGCTTTTCCTACTCAAAAGGACATCTGTCCATTCCTAAAAAATGCATCATTTTCACAAAACACACCTGCAAACACCATCAAAGGCTGAAATACAATAGTAAGATTTTTTTTACTGTCTAGACTCACAAACCCCTTAACGTACCTCACACCCACACTGCGAAGATACCCAGTCACTTTTTTATATCCAGATTCTGGAAATTCAGTTATGAAGTCTGATATCATTTTTTGCAGATCATCTTGAGATATCTGACTGTAGGTGCTATGGATGGATAAATCATATTCAGACATTCGTCTTCTGACTGTTTTTAAACTTACACCCAACATGTTTGACATGGAATTGTAAAATTGAACTGCAACAGAAATTCCAATTGTGCGTAATGTTAATTTTGGGTCGGCCCCTGTTATCAGTGGAAACTGTTCCTGCCTCAAAGCCATTGATGGTACAGTTTGGCTGTGCACTCAAAATATCTAAAACTTTGCCCAAGTTGTCAAGCACTTGCTCTGCCTTTTCTGACTCAATATTCTGAAAGCATCTGATCAGACAGTTCTGCAGTTGCTCCAGCCTGAATAAAATGTAGTCATAATCAGAGTGTTGAAAAGTTGGGTTGAGGAGATGAAGGGCTGCATTATCTAAAGTATCCGCAGCACTCTGAAGAAACGCTGGTGGTATACCATGGAATCTACAACAGAAAAGATAAATACAGTGGTACCTCAGTTCTCTAACTCATTAGAAATCAAATTTCTTAAAAGTCGAACCAACCAGTTCGAAAAAAAAAGACCTAGAACTCAATCTGAATCTCAGAAGCCGAACCGTGAACGCCGACCGGGGAAATGAGTCATGCGGCATGTCTCTCCGCGGAAACAAAGGGTAACGCTTCAGTCTCAGCCTCGCATTCACTGTGATAGCATCGTGCATGTTTACACTACATGAATACATATATTTAGACAGTAAAAATACATTTAGACAATGATAGACAGTAACAGTAATTATTATTATATAATAAAATGCATTTTAAACAAAGATTTCTTATTATTTTAATATTAATAATAAACCATTAATACATTTAATTTTAATAATACTGTTGTGCCCAGCGGGGACGGAACTGAGACAAAGGCGCAGACGTCAAGGTATCGGGGAATACGGGGTAATTAATTACAGGTAAATCAGGCAAAACGCAGATGGACAATACAATGACCGGACTGGGGAAACAAACTGAAACACGGACTAAATACAGAGGGCTAATGACAACAACCAGAAACAGCTGATCACACGGGGATTCCACCCGGGGGTTAACGAGGGGCGTGGCACACGGAAGGCGCGGACGATTGGGGCAGGACAGGACACATATTGTTTGGATATATTCTTACTTTAAAATTACTGTTTTGATAAATGTGCTTAGATGTGTTTAGTACAGTATATGCTTTTCTTGTTTTGTCCGGTTCATTTTGTGTTTAAATGCTAAAAAAAAAACATATTTCGGTGTAATTTTTGGGGGGCGGGAACCAATTAATTGGTTTTCCATTATTTTTTATGGGGAAAATTTGATTAGAACTCGAACTTTTTAGAATTCGATCCCGAGTTCTGAACGGATTAAGTTCGAGTTCTGAGGTATCACTGTATGAGATAATACCATATGCAACTATAAAGATTTACTCAATGTAAAGCAAACTATAGCTATTCTCTGCAAGGTACAAATGGATACAAAAAAAAAACAATAGGAAGAATACAATGCATTACTTTGCATGCCTTTTATCAATTTATTAAACTGAAAGCCGATGGAAAAAATGTGCATTATACTCAAGCTAATATGAAATGTGTGACATACCTATAATACGTATTATTTCATTGATATGGGGTACAGTATGTATTATTTTGCACATAATCGTTGGGAAGAAAAGGAGTCACGACTAGCAATTTTACCGTGCGTTCGCTCCCTCCTCCATCGCAGCGTTTTTTTTAACTTACGTAGCATGCTGATGACGTTTTTTCGGCTTCATGCTGCAAGAGCATCTTCAGCAAGCGAGATTTAATGCGTGCATGCCGCAAGAGCATCTTCAGCAAGCGAGACTTAATGTAGAGTATGCGTGACTTCGTTCCGAATGCACTTTTTAAACTTAAGGAAAAGTAGGTTCGTGTCGCATGTTAATAATCACGAAGAGCCACTTCATTCTGCATGCTCGTGTAATGCAAGCATGTCTTCAAGCACAATGTGCACCTTAATAAAGACCCCAACAACCCCTTATAGAGAGGCTGGAATGGTACATTTCAGACACTTTGATAAGTCCTCACAAATCCTGCCCCAGAACATCTGAGCAGGTGGACAGAACCAAAGAGCATGGATGTAATTGTCAGGTGTATCTCCTTGACAGTGTGAGCAGTTGTTAGAAGACGTAAAACCCATCCTGAACATCCGATGCCCTGTATAGTGCACTCTATGCAGGATTTTGTATTGTATTAATTGTAAACTGAGATTTCTAATCAGATCAAAGGTTTTTAAACATATCTTAGAGCAGAAATTGTGGTCCCAGCTGATTGATAAATCTGCCTCCCATTTTGCAATAGGAAGGGATATTGATTCATCCATTTTGGAAAGTGTCCTGTATATTTTAGACAATAATTTGGGGGTTTTGAGATTAAGGAATTCTGCCACACTTGGTGGTATTTGTAATTTGATTTGTTTAGACTTGAATTTCCTTTTTACTATAGATTTTACTTGTTGATATTCTAAAAATCTATTCTTGTTAATCCCATATCTTTTAACTAATATGTCAAAGGGGGTAAAATCTATTTCTTTGAATATATGTGTCACGTTCGGATGGTAGGTGAGACGTGGAAGTAGGCGAGAGCAGCCTGGAAGTCAGGTAACGGGGTTTTTTAAGGGAGGGACGGACAGGCACGGACATCTACGGACACTACAATGACGAATCTGGGGAAACTAACTGAGACACAGACTAAATACAAAAGACTAGCCAGACATAACAGGACACAGGTGATCAGAACCAGGGATGAACACGAGGTAACGAGGTGGGCGTGGCACACATTAGCGAACGGAGCGGGGTGTGACATAACCCCCCCCCAAAGGCGCGCACACCGGGCGTGCCCGAGAGGAGGCGACAGACGAGACGAGACCAGGGAACAGGACCTGGAAGACAAAACCAAGAACAATCAACGAAGAACCGGGAACAAGACAGAGACACAGAACAGGAACAAGGACGAAAAGAAAGACAGGACACGACAAAGAACAGGAAAGGCAGACAGGCAGACAGAGAAGGGAGACACAACAGGAACACCCACAGGCGACACGAAGGGGCCAGGAGTGAACAGAGGAGGAACAGAAGGACAAGGAGCAGAGACAGGAAGGAGAAAGGCAAAGGGAGGAGGAATAAGGGGCGCCCGAAGGAACCCAGACGGGAGACAGGTAGCGGCCGGAGGGGCCGCAGGTGAGAGGGAGAAGGGAGCAGGAGGGGACCACACAGGGGTCGAGGGAACGGGACGAGGGAGAGACGGAGGGGACACGGAGGTAGCAGGAGGGAACAGCGGCGAAGGCAGGCAGGAGGGGGAAGCCGCGGCAGGTGACGGCGCAGCCGGAGCCGGCGAAGGCGCCGTCCGACACCAAGCCGAAGCAGGGGGGCCCGGAGGCGGCCGACACGGCGCCAGAGGCGGGACCGAGGACCGGCACCGAGGCACCGGGGGGGGACCCGGAGGGGACCGCTGACCCAGAGCCGGAGGACCTGCAGGCAGCCACCGAGCGACAGCCAGGGGATGAACGGGCGAGCCAGGGGGCAGGGCGGCGGGCCACCAATTCCTGCAGCTGCAGCGGGCACCACCAATTCCTGGCCAGCAGGGGGCGCCTCGGCGGGCGCCGCCGTCACGCGGCCAGCAGGGGGCGCAGCCGCGGGCACCTCGGGCAGTGCCGCAGGCAGAGCGGCGGCAGCTGTAGGGACCGCAGGCTGGGCAGGTGGGTCAGGCAGGACAGGTGGTGCCGCTGGCAAAGCGGCGGCAGCAGCAGGCGGTGCTGCGGGCAGAGAAGCGGCGGCAGCAGCAGCAGGCGGTGCCGCGGGCAGTGCGGCGGCAGCAGCAACAGGCGGCAGGTCCGGAGCAGGCAGGTCCGGAACTGCCCCTTTAAGAGTTTTGAAGACCCGGGGAATAGCGTCCCTTACTGCGCATATCCCCCCTTGGCCCAGGTGCGCTGGCTGGAAACTATACGCCTCCAAAGGCGGCTGCTTTATCAGGAGGGGTCCCTCCTGACATTCCGCGGGGAGAGCAGCTGCGGCGAGACTACAGGCCCCCATGAAGATCGTTGGGGCAGCGTCTTCTTCTTTTTGCGGCTGGGGCAGGTCGGTGGAGGCGGGGTTGCTTCCGAGACGGTAAGCGTTTGGAGTTGCCTCTCCATGAATCCTTTGACCAGCTGCCAGAGGTTTTCACGCATGTCGATGATTACGTGCGCGCCCGTGAGCGGAGTCATCTCCTGGAGGAGTCGGCCGCTTTTGCTGGCTAGCTGCCATAGCCCAGGGTCCTCATGGACCTCTGGTTGAGACAGCCAGTACAGCACCTCGTCCAGCAGCTTGAGGCGGCTGTCCTCAAGCTGCGGAGGTGCGCTCGAGAGATCCGTCATTCTGTCACGTTCGGACGGTAGGTGAGACGTGGAAGTAGGCGAGAGCAGCCAGGAAGTTAGGTAACGGGGTTTATTAAGGGAGGGACGGACAGGCACGGACATCTACGGACACTACAATGACGGATCTGGGGAAACTAACTGAGACA